TTTTGCAAAAGTGCTCTTTTAAAGCTTGCTTATTTTTTTAATAATAAGACTAATTCATCACTGAAAATGTTTTTAAGAATTTCTAAGGTTCCATATACTCAGGGTTACAAATGGATGAGACTGAAAATAGCAACTATTGAATCTGAGGTGAAGCATGTGTTTGAAGAGATGCTTTGAGTCCTGAGGTGAAATGAAACAATTACGAACTTGTAGTGATGTGCTTATCCAGCGTGGGTGTGGTGAATACTCATGTAATTTCCTAGATAACTCTTCTTTGTGGAGGTCCTCAGTAGTATTAGAACTACAGACATTGCATTTCTAGAATAAACATGTTTTCTGAAACATGAAAGCCGGATTCTCGTGACTGTCAAAGGCAAACAATTTATTAAGGTTGCAGTTGGCAAGTACAGAGCTGGCCAAAGGGGTCGTGTTCTAAACACATCTTCGTTAAGTGTTATTTGTTAGTGTTGTTATCCAGTGTATTATATATAAATATATATATATAAAACAACATTAATTAATGAGTTGCATTTTATGAGTGTGGATTTTGCATGAAGATCAGATTGTATTTTCATGTGCGTCAGGAGTGCTGTGCCGTCATATTTCCTCTTTGGGGTGTTTTCTACCATAGTTATTAAAAAAAGCATACCCTCACAACCCAAAACAGGTTCTCAGTTTGTATTTTTTGTATCGTGTGCATGCACTTATTGTCTGTGTGTATCTGAGATACATACTCTACTGCTACTTTTCTCAGGCAGCTTTAAAAACGGACAAATTAAAGGTGTGTATGAATTACTCGGCTTTCTTTGCTGCAGTGGTTGAGATTAGAGGCCTCTTCTTACAGTCTAATAAACATATTCTAACAAAACATGGTTTTCAACTTTGAAGGGTGTAAATTTAAGCAAAATAATAATTTAGCTTACATTAACTCAGCAGGAAGTCACAGTTTTACTGAGCAGGGTACAAACTGATTAATCCTCTATGGTGGATCCAGTGCCTTTTCAAGTGCTACAGCTATGTTTCATTAAGTTGTCAGGATGTCTTGGGTTTTGGTTAGCCTAACTTCTCCTTTCTCATAGAATTTGTTTTCACTTGAGTTACTGAATTTCCAGATGTAGACTTCTTGTTTCTTCTCCCTTCTCTCTTCTCCCTTCTCCTCTTCCCCCCTCCCCCCTTCCCCCTTTTTTTTCTTTTTTTATTTCATTTTTTTCCTTTTTTTCCTTTTCTTCCTTTTTTTCTTTTTTTTTCCTTTTTTTCTTTTTTTTCTTTTTTTTCTTTTTTCCCTTTTTCCCTTTTTTACTTTCCTTTTCTTTCCTTTTCTTCCCCTTTTCTTCCCCTTCCCCTTCACTTTCCCTTAAGTATTTGGGAAGCAAATACCCCAAACATACTTAGAGTAATTAAATACTGCTTATACTCTAAAATATTTTGGTCTGTTTTTTTTATACAGGGCTGGTAAGTTAGTCACACAAAATTGTTTTTTCTTTCCCAATACTCTGCTGTGTTTTAATATTCTTTTTGTATGCAGAGGATATCTCTTTTAAAGCAGTTCACTAAAATGTCTTAATGTATTAAGAAGTATGGAATAAAATGTTTTTCAGTCCTTAAGCAGATTGTGTAGAAGGAATTCAGTTATAAGAGGGCACCTAGACTTTATCCTGAGAGCCATTAAACCACTTAAGCAGTTAAGTGAACTGCTCACTGATATTACTGTTTACTTTATTCTTCAAAAGTGTTCATCCATTTGTTAATTAAATTATAAAATAAATAAAGAACAGATGATATATTCCTGTATATCTGCTGAAGAATGATTTGATCATTCATTTCAAGGAAAAAATGGCATTTTTTAATATTTATGTGTGTGTGCGTGTATATATGTATTTTTGGTGAGTGTCTGTACAGAAGTCTTGAGAAGGTGGTTTTACTTGGTTTTACTTTGATTCCTTTTGGGGAAACATTTAGGGGAAATACTCTTCAAAGAAAAATGTATGTAAATGAAATACACTGGATACTTCTGAATCAACTATTGCATTTACATAGGTTGCTTAAAAAGCACCACCCACTGCATTGATGTGCTGACATCCACTGTTTGGTCTCCAGCAATGTTCAGCAAGCGTCAATGAATGTCAATGCAACTTTTTCTCATGGAGGAATTCAATTTCACACCTTTACTTTGTATGCATTGCCGTGTTAGATGCCATTTTGTCAGACTGACTCTCTGCTGCCATCTGTCACATGGCAATTAAATGGAATTAAATGGTAATGGAAGATTGGAGCATTGGTGGGAAGATTCAGCCTCTACTGCCATACCACCAACATCTGCCTCTCATGTTGTGGGCCAGCAGAGTAAAATAGGAGGTGTTACTTTTGGAGCTGCCATTGTAAGCTGTGCATCCTTGTGTCTTGCTATAGTTTGCAGGGCAGAGACAGAGACAGTGGTGCTGCTCATGGACAATCTGGTACTTACTTGCCATTCAGTATTGATATCTTCCACTCTTCAGAGAAGTACTTGGAAGTACTTGTCATACTCTTCTAATGGTTTTTCTCTAAGCAGGATATTGACTGCAAAACTGATTAGGTGATTCAAAAATCTGTTCAGTTTTCTGATTCAGAGACTTTGAGTACCTAGTAGAAGCTAAATGCAACATCAAATGCTGCCCTAAGAAGAAAAGGGAATAAGTGTCTCTAAGGGCAGCTGCTGAAATGATCTTTTTTTTTTTTAAATAGGCTTGATTCCAGACAGTGTCTATGTTAATAGTAGGAGTTAGTAGTAGTTTGTTTTTTCCTGAGATGACTAATTAGCCGTTCTTACCCTATCATCCCTAACTCTTGGAGAATCTGTTTACCCCTTTGCAGTTTGAAAGGAGGGAAAGTTTGAATGGTTGACCTGGCTTGGCTGTACTTGTATTCTGTCCATATTGGATGTTGCCCTTGAGCAAGTCTTCTGTTGTTTTAGCTGCCTCCTTCCCAGTGAATGCACCTTCCAGAGAAGGCTAAAGTCTTTATAGATTTTAAACCAACAGGCACTGTCTATCATAGCAGTCTCCTGGAAACAAGTAGTATATGAGAATCTTATGTAAGATTCATTATGAACTGTTCAACATTAAGAAAGGCACTAGAATGCTAATATTTTTTAAACTCATACTGGGTGATATGATGTGTATGGCTTTGTTTTGGCTTCAACTCTTTGATCCAGGCATATTTCTGCAATTTTTTTTAATGGGAGATATTTGAAATATTCTTAAGAAACATTCCTTTAGTTAGGCATGTATTTGTTATTTTCAAGTATTCAGCAAACATAATTAAAGAAGCATCTGTATGTTTTCATGTAATGATACAGTTTTTCACTGTTATTAGTATTAAAGTTACGTTTCTCTTCTCATGCTTTTTTTTTTTTTTTTTTTTTTTTTTTTTTTAATTTGAGGTGAGATTTTCCCATTGTGAAATCAGTTCAGACCAGCTGTATCAGTGTAGATGTTTCCAACTGATCTAGCTCCAGAGATTTGAGATAGAAAGCTCTGTGTGTAGACAATTTTATCTGGTGCTTTATCTCCTTTTGTGTGTGTGTGTGTGTGTGTGTGTGTGTGTGTGTGTGTGTGTGTGTGTGGTCAAATGAAGTAACATTCTGAGCTGTTTCAATTCTTTTTCTACTTATATGAAAATGGAAAATCTCTAGATAACAACACAAGGCAGGTGCCCTGTTATGTGGAGCTAGAAGTTTTGCTGCTAAGGGCCAGGAAACATAGACTGGCTTCTAACAGAACAGTCTCAGTGTCAGATGAATGTCATCTTCCTTCTAACTTCTGAATTGTCTGAAAGGTACAGTTAACAAAATGTAACAAGTCACAAAACACTTCGCAAGGATTGGGTTTAGCCAGGGCCAGGGCAGCCCCTGGTTTATAGTAAGTTCTGAGCATTTTTCAAACCGAGAAATTGAAATAATTTTTCAGTTTCAGCCCTACTGAACTTGAAATTGTGTTTTTTAAAGTTAATACTACTAGGTCATGATTCTTATTTCACAGTGACACTTTGATATAATCTTAAGAGTCTCAGATTAGAGCAGTATTTTAGCATGAAGGTTACAAGTGAGTAATAAGTGGCAACTTTTAGTTTTGAGGAAATATGGAAATTTTGCATTGGTACATACACTTTTTTTCTTAAAATATTATCTTGTGCAATGATTAAATAGTATCTCATTTAAAATCTTAGTCAGTGGTTGTACGTACATTATTTGTTCTGCAAAGTTGATAGATCAAGTCAGATGGGGAAAACTGGGCTGGGCTAAATACACCTGAGTAGTATACATGAGAAGTAAAATTACTGGTTTTTGGACGTTTTGATATGATGAAATATTGCAGTTCAGAGATTTTTCACTCTTAAATAAAATTGTTTAAGCTACCAATTCTCTTCTGTCTTGTTCTTAATGTTTCTGTTCCTGAATACCTCACGGCTTACAGAACCTTCCTTTCCAACTTGAGTAGGGTGAAAGTGGAGGTGATATGTTTATTGGTTGATTTATCTTGTAAAAGGTAACTGGATTGGATACCTTCAGTCTTCTTGCTGATAGTTTATGTTTGAATGAACTTAATGATTTTTGGTTTGGTTCAACACGGTGAATTTCTGCAATGTAATAACTGGCATTTACTTTTGTTATTGTAAGTTGAGCTGTAGTGCTTACTTTTGCCTGTACCAAATTTCAGACTGTTTACAGATGCAAAGATGGGGAATGGGAAGAGTGTGTGGTGTAATGAAATTTCGATGTACAGAATATAGTATAGTGCATGTAGCTCCTTATTACAGAGGCATCCTTCTACAGTCCAGGTTTTCATTTGCAATTATATTTTCTCTTCTTTTGGAAGAAGTTAGTTTCCTTTGTAAGTTGAAAACATCTGGAAAGATTTTGCTATAATTAATATTAGACATTGATGATATGTTTTTTAGTATCAAGTTGGCTTTTTTTTTCCCTCTACAGTACTAATGAACACATTTTTTTTCTCATTTAGGAGAATATATAAAAAACTGGCGGCCAAGATATTTCCTGCTAAAGACAGATGGTTCTTTCATAGGCTATAAGGAGAAGCCCCAGGATGTGGATCTGCCATATCCACTCAACAACTTTTCAGTGGCAAGTACGTATTTCCAGTATTTATTATTCTCTTAGCATACTGACAAAATGTCTGCTACATTTTGCTGAATGCGTAGTTCGGAATTTATTGATAACAGTGCAAGTTTGATGCCTTGTGTCAGGCTAGTACCCTCCAGTCTCGTGTCCAGTTCTACAAGATTTTCTTACAAATGGCATTAAAGATTTTATCACAAGTGGGTTATTTTGAAAATCAAGTCCTCAATTTTTGTTTTTATTTTATTTATATCTAAAGTGTTTGTTACTAACAATAACATTTGATAAATGATTGTTGTAAGATGAAAATCCTTTGAAAGCTTACTTGTATTCATACCACTGCCCTCTTTATTTTTTGGTAGTATCTCTGAATTCTCTTGAAAACTCAAATTAATTAGAAAATTATCTAGACTGTCAAATGGCACAAAATCGTGCTAAATTATTTTTCTCTTGGATAATCAGGTAATCAGCTCTCCAGCCTGGTTAGTCAGTAATTTTGAGCAATCAGACAATTTGCATATATTAGCAAAGCTACAAAGTATGAATCTATTGGATAAAATGAAGACATTGTGCTTTTTTCTTTTTCAAAAATGTTTTTAGAAGACAAGTTAGTAGTTTTTTTTTTTTTTGGATTGTGAGATTGATAGAATATTTTTGAACAGAACTGAAAATATTTGCAGAGCTAAGCTAAGGGGAAAAGATCCCCCTGAGTGTAAGATTTTTGTATATTATGGCTATAAACTTTTGAAGGAATGAATATTAGAATATGTAACCAACTTCTTTCAAAATGTGTTTAGTGTACTGCAGTGCAATAAATAGCAGTGTTTAGTTTTAAAGGAGAATGTTGGAGTCACAAGAGCAGGTGTATGTAGGGAAAGGATTTCCTTTATTTGCATTACTGAAGGAATTAATCTTGGGCTCCAATGCTGTGTCTTGACCTACAATTGGAGGAAGAAAACCTTGCACATTCTGATGATGGTAGAAGTCTTACAGATGATATTGAGTATACAAGCCTTGTAATATTAGAAACTCGTTTTACCTTGTTGCTATGTAGTGCTAAAAGCAGTGATGCCTTTAAGTTGTTCATGAGAGTTGGTAGACCTAGCACTGACCAAATCATAGAATGTTATTCTTTAGCCATTCCTCTGACTGTATAGCCCATTAGTAGTTTCCCAGATACTTCTTGCCCTATGACCAAGGGAAAGAATCTGTAGAATTACAGGAGGTTTTTTTTGCTCTGCTTTACTGTACTCTTCATTGCATATCTAGTCTTCCTTTGCCATTGCAACAAGAAGGATGATCCAGACAGTAGTTCTGCCAAATGAAGAAATGCATAATTAGCAATTAGATCCACTGTGTTGATACTGGTGTTGAACTCTTTTTTCTGATGCCAAGAGGTCGTCTTCTATAATGCTGCCTCTGAACTTTGTTTTGATGGGAATTGGATAATTTTTTTTTATTTGTTTCCAGAAATGACAGGAGTCCTTGCAAGCACCGTAGGTCAGATACTTAGGCTATGTAAGCTAAAGGAAGGAACTTGTAGTATTAATTAAAGAATTACAGTATTGGTAAAGGAGATGAGTTTTTCTGTTTTCTGGCAGGAGAAGCAATAATTTAATAAGAAATAACTGCTGAGGAGAGCAAGAATAGTGAGAGCTTTTCCCTCACAAAAATAATCCCATAAAATTTTAGAAAGGTATCTATGTGAAGATCACAATGTAGAAAGTAAAACATTTTCTGGAATGAGAATTTTTTTGATAAGATTCCAGTTTTTAACTTTAATTAAATATGTTAGATTTTATCTTGAATAAGAAGTACAGAATTATATAACGTCCACGGCTGAAAAGATGAGGCGAGAATAGTATTATACTCTGAATTGCAAAGGACTGCTTTCAGTCAGATATTTTATCTGTCTGACAATGAGATCATCAGTAGCGCAAACAAACAAAACAACACTCTGTATGACTGAATCGGATCTCATCTGCAGTACCTGGTAAATCTCAAGAACGGGCTTTATGCTCTCCAATCCCTGAGTTCCTGAGCTGCTGCAGTAGGTTTGCAGCCACAAGTAGTGCAGCATATTTTTTCTGTAATAGTGAAGTACATTTTTCATAAATTACTAGCCAGGCAGATGGAGTGTGAGATCACTGTTAATACCATCTTGATTAGGTTGGCAGGGACTTAAAGATATGTCTTTATAGTCCTATCTTCACGTAATCTTTGTAGCTATCTGTAAAGTGAGAATGTGGTCTCAGTCTACTTTTTGCTCTCCAAATGATAGACATCTTTGGCTCTTACTTACAGCTTGTTATTTAAGCAGAGAAGGCCAAGGCCATGGTATTATTTTTGTACTGTTTGAGTTGAACACTGGAAAGTTTGTACCTTTCTGCTTTGTGTGATACTTGTTCTGTATTTTAAAATTCTACACCCGCCCTGTTACACCATTTACTTTGATCACACAGATATTTTCCCAACAGAATGACCCCCTTCCACTCCTGCTACACCAAGCTTACTTTTGCAGAAGACTTTCCCGGACAGAGTATCATTTTCTGAATAGTTGCTGCCTGATTTCTTCCAAGAAAAGTTTCTCCCAAGAAATATGGTCAAAGCCCCACAGCTGAGCACTTTTCTCTCCCCGATCCTTTGTAGCCAGTGTATTCCCTTGTGAATCCTGTGAATGAGAGAAAGGCCTGAGAGGACAAATATTTTATAGCCTGCTAACAGTGCTTCCAGTGCTGAATATGCAATTATTAAGGCAGGGAAACCGTGTGGGACTGAAATGACAGTGAGTGATCTCTTACTGGACCATAATTATACTAGGTGGAGTTGACTGGGGGGTATGGTGGAGATGGGCTGGATAAAGTAGGAAGATTCGGGACTGGCCCATTGGTGCCCAGAGCACCTTCCATGCATGTGAGCACCAGTAGTGAGTTCTCTGTGCTGTGACTGCTGAGCTGCCAGAGCTTGTGGCAGGGTGAACAAATCTGTCTGGTGATACAGGTCATGTGCTGGAATTGCTTTGGTTTCTCTCCTGTGGAGTTACTGTATTTTATACCATACAGAGCCCAATTCAGAGACTAGTTCGAAGTCAGCCCCAGCTCTTTTTAGGTGTAGAGAAGCAGTTACAAGTAATCAAGTTGCTGGAGCTTCAAGAGACACTGTTGATTGACTGAGTCATGGTAATGGAGTGGGTGTGCATTCCTGCCCACCTCAAAATATGTTAATTTAAATTGTTTTTTGCTTAGGCATTAATGCAGTCAGAACCAGTCTAAAAATATTTTTGATTCAATTGCTGTAACTTCTTGGTATAGGCGAAGGCCTATATTAGGCTTCTTTTGAAAAAAAAGAACGCAACATTGGTACTCTGGATGTCCCCATGGCAGGATTTATACCCCTAGAGGTCCCAAAAAAGAACAGCATGATCTCACAACACTATTTCTAAGTGGGCCAGTGCTGTTGAAGCAGAATCAGTACTGCTTTGTGTACACCGCCTTGGTCTTCGATGGGAAGAAGTGGTGGTTCTTTCCAATTCTTTTTAAGGAGTTTTTGTGGCCTTATTGATTAAAAAAAGAAAAAAAGAAAAGAAAAAACACAAAAGAGAAACCACTGAAAACCAACACTAAAAAAAGTTCTCACAAATGCAGTGAGTATGTAAGTGATCACATAGCACATTTGGGTTGAGGTATCTGTATGAACTGGCCTTTTGCCTTCATTTTGATCTTCATGTGGAGAATAATTAGGAAGAGATCTATCCCTTCAGTGGTAGCCTTTGAACTTCAGCCAAAAATGATGTCACTTGGAATTTTTGTGGTATCTTGAAATATTTTACTTTCCAAGCACTCTGTGATACAGGTGAAATAAATTCAGGTTATTGCTAGAAGATACTTTTCTATAAAATGTTTTTTTCAATTTTATTTTTCTTCACTACAGAAATTGAATAGAAAATACATATTCTTGTATATATCAACTTATCCGTGAAAATACTTTCTGTTAGAAATGACTTTTTTCCAGGAACGGCACAGTTAACTTTTCAATGAGATTTGAGTTTAAAGTCCTAGGTGTTTTTGGTTGTCATAGCAGTGGATGACGTGAACACACAGATATGCGTCCAACTAGTTTCATATAATTACAGCACAGATTTAAATCCAAAGTAATAACAGTACAATTGAATAAATAATATTCATTCAACACTGCAAATTATTTGAGAAAAAAAAGCACTGTATATAGAATGTGCTGAATACACAAATGTGTCTATGGAAATTCAAACTCAAATCTAATGTGTTACCAGTGTTACTGTTGGATGTATGTATGTTTGTCTATCTGGAAAATTGGACCAGTCAGTCCAGAGTTGAGAGGTTTGCAAAGTACCTTATGAACTGTTTTTAGGTGGCATAGTTGGTATTCAGTCATTTGACTTAGAAGTTTGGATTCACTTGTTAGCTTGGATCACAAACGAGGATGAGTTCCTCAGACTTATCCTTCAGTTTTACTGAGGTCACTCCAAAAGTATGCCTCCTATTTATTTCCATGGAATCAACAGTTGCAATGAGCACGATAGCACAGCAGCAAAATGGCATGTTGGCGGGAAGGTTCAACCTCTATTGCTGTGCCACCAACATTATAAAATAGGAGGCATTACTTTTAGAGCAGCTCTTGGACAGTGCTTTCTCAGACACCAGTTTACCATTCTGTAATGCCCAGCTATTTCTAAGTAGGGCCTGGTATAAGCGTGGTAAGTCAAAAAATGTACTGTCTTTTTATCTGGCGTACATTGATTTGCATAAATGAAGTTGAGATGTTAGTATGTAAGAGAGAGGGATACACTATGTTACTGACTTCTGTGAAGATAAGAAAAACCTCACGCAAAGCCTGGCTGGCAATAACATGTGGAGATCTCTCATTTTCATTCTCTCTCTTTGTGTGAAAGGGTGACTAGCAAACTAATTGTCATGATAGAAAGGCAAGGGCAGTACTTTTTGGAGTGCTGTAAATAAATGACTTCCCAGCATA